GCTATTTAAGTGCATAAAATGGTTGATTCTTTTTAAAATCCTTCTACGGTTTTTTTAAAATTTTGATCCGCTTACGTTTTAGCTTAGAAAATACTATTTTACCAACTTCGTTTTTTCTTATTCAATTTTTGCCTCGACTAAAATCTTTATCCAACCATTTAGTTAAAATGTAATTTTGTATATAGTGAAATTTTTTTTTTGTCGGCGTATATAGTGAAAATTAAAAGTCACTAATTGAACTTAAAAAAAAAAAAAAGGTGATTTATTGATCGGAATTAAATATTTATTAGGGAGGAAGCAACATGGGCAAATTGCCAATTTGGTTTGATAACGTGGCCCACATGTTTACCTGACCGTTTTGGACTTTCTGAGTTAGTGTCGAAAGCGTCGGGCCCATAAAGTGGACCCCACACAAGACAGGACAAAAACTTCTTTGGAGTCATCCACGTAGACATCATGACATGGAGATCTAGCCACGTGTATAGACTCGTAAGAGTGACGTGGACGATCAAGATAAATGTTCTCTGAGAAAATTCGACAATACTTTTATTTGTCCAAGCTTTTGTACATTAAAATGGGCTTTTAGTTGGCCCAATGAATTCATCAAGCCATTCATTAAAGCAGGCCCAACGCTGAAGAAATCTTATCGTTGACGATGATTTTAATTTTTGACGACCGAACTTCCTCGCCGGAATCGTATTCCTCCTCAGGCCGCAGATCTAAGGACCATCACGAATCTGTCATCTCCGGCGAAATTCCGACCTAGGGTAAGTTGATTCCGTTGCTTCAGAACTCGAAGGTAAATAACTTAACCCGTTTAATCGAAATTGAAAACACTCGTTTTTCTTATCTAGGGATTTTGTGCAGGACATAATCGTAGGATGCTCGAGTTACGAAATAGAGAATGCTACTTTCTCTTGTGTCTAATCGTCTTCATAATCACTGTGCCATGTTACAGCCATGAGAGTCTGTTAGTGTTCTTAAAAAACCTCACATTTACCCAGAAATTTTTTCAATCTGGATTCATTGTTGTGTACAATAGAAATGATCTTATCAAGTTTCATTATCTAGAATCTTATATGCTGGGAAGGAACTATGGAAGGAGACTCTGCCATTACAATCTGGATCTAGAGTTTACAAATTAGAAGGGCTTAAATCAAATTCTTGGTATGAAGTCAAGATATCGTATCCAGCTTCTGTATGTCAAAATTTGTTCTCTTGTTCTTGCTTTTATGTTTCCAAGTTTTTGATGTGCTTGTTGAAAATCTGATCTTTTGGTATGGTTGTAATAGATACCGGCTCTGTTTTCGCTGCAACTATTGAGGAACGGTGTAACGGGTTTGAAGCTTAATCAGATGAGGAGATTACTAAACACTGAGAAGTTGATCTTTAAAACCGAAAGTCTCGAAGAAGCTCATAACAAGGTATTGACATAATCCAAACCAGCTTCGATTATTAGTCCCTACAACTTAGAAAGAAGCTGGACACAAGTCCTTGAGCTTTTTTTTCCTTCTGATTTATAGGATGGATTGTATGTTTTGGTGAATGTGGAGCCTGAAGGAATCGTGGCTATACCAAATTTCAAGGAACAGTCTTTCGTCATTTACAACATAGGCAAGCTTTGTTACTTTTACTAAGCTACTGTCATCAATCTTCTTTCTTTTGCAACATAAAACTTGTAGTGAGTGAACTGCTTGTTCTAAAGTTTAAAACTCTAATGGTGCCAGTTTGTGAAGAACAACTCTTAGGCATCGCATACTCATGCTGGTCAGTGGTGGTTTTAGTAGTTTTGTGTCTCGTGGTCGCGTCGATTCTTCCTCGGTTTCTCCCATCATATTTTCTAATCAAAGATGGAGATCGTGACCGGTAAAGGCCACTGCCAAGTTGATATCAAGAGGAAGCATATGGTAAGTACACATAGATGTTTTGTTAGTTGTTACTCTGTTTAGCTTTTTGTGTTTGTTCATCTAATTCGATTTGGACTTGGGCGTCTAATGTCAATTTATTAGATTGGATATGAGTTAGTTATTTTGTATATCTATGTTTCCTGGATATTTGACTCTGAAATATTTTGGATAATTCGGCATGTTCTTGAGTAAATTAAGAGACATTAGTCTGTAGACAATTTGTAGATTACGACAACTAGATGTCAAAGAACAATCAAAGGATTTATAAAATGGAAGGGTTAACTAAATAAAATCAAGACTTATATTGGCATGTGATAATAGATTCGCATAAGATGCTGTGTTGGAAACAGTGGGAATGGTAATGTTATTAGGCCATCTCCGAACTCTATTTTGGAGTAAAATCTCTTCCAACCCCATTCCATTTTAAACTCTAAAATAGAGTAAACCCATTTTATCCTCTAAGGGGTTGATTGGTTCACCCGCTACCATCCGCAAATGCTTCGTTTGCGGGCAGTAGCGTTTGTTGGCGTTTTACAACAATCATTGGAAACGCCTTATATCGCTTTGTGTTGCTCCAAACCTCTCAAATCCAAAACCTGTTTTCTTTGAACGTTTGCAGTTGCGGTTGGATAATTACAAAAATAAAAATTAAATTTCTTTTTATTAAAAAAAGAATATTTACTTAAAACTCAAAATAAATATACTAAATTAAAAATTGATATTTTAGTAACTCTAATCACGAAATATATCAATAATTTGAAACTTAGTAATTAAAACTTAACCTATCATAATTTTATATTTATAAAATTTTCAAATCGTAATTTTTTCGATAAATTGTTCTTGATCACTAATTATTAAATCTAACAAGTTAAAATGTTTAAAATCACATTAATCTCTCTAAAATAAAATAAAAATTCTTCATTAAAATCACAATTTTCATTATTTTTTTTTTCTAGTCACAATCATAACTTTCTTCTAAACTAAAAATTTTAAAAAGGAACATAAAAAATATATTCATGGTATTCAGTTAC